GGAGGAGGAGCCACCCAGCTCTCCTCAGGCTCATCCCACCTTGGTCCATGGTCACAAAGTTCCCGAGTCTTCCCAGCCCTGAAGGTGTTCCCAACTGCCCGTCAGGAATAAGCAGAGAAACAGCAGGCCCGGGTGCCCAGAGATGGGGTCAGCAGCCTTGACACAGCGACTGAGTGGATTCCACACCCCGGAGCAATTCCCTCCGAAATTCAGCCACGAAGAAAATACAGTATAGCAGACTAGCCCTCGAAATTCTCAGTTCTCCACGAAGTATGTGTCTTAGGAAGGATGTTTATTTTCCTGCGAGCATTCTGGGCTAACATAAAAAGTGTATCAGAGAGAACTGCAGCTTTTCCTGAAGCAGGAAGAAAGCAGACGGCAGAAAGCAAATATTTGTCGAAAGCCTATTTTGAGCTCAGTCTCTAAATGCCTTTGCTCATTGAATCCTATTATCAACTCCATTTTCTAGTTAAAAAAAGAGACTCAAAGACTAAGAAAAGGTCCCAAAGTCACCATATAATAATAAAAATGTGTCACGGTTTGGATTCGTGTCTGCCTGACTCTGGAGCCTAACCTCTGTTACATTTGATTTTATTTTTATCTAAGTGTGCCCCCAAATCAGAAGAACATAGTTTGGGGTTAATGCTGGATTAATTCACAAAGGAGAGAGATGATGGTTAATTCTGGGAAATGATGATTAAACTCTCAGCAGCGTAAGAGGATCATATGGAAGGAGAAAAGTCTGAGTAGATGAGGACAAACTGTGGGGTGTTTTCAAAGGGTTTTTGCCAACTCGAAGCATCCCTTTGGCCCTGGAGGGTTGGGGAGGGCGAGTGTGAGAGGACTGCCAGCAGCTGTCCCTGTGCCCACAAGTCCCGCAGCTCCTCCACGCAGCAAGCGTGGTGGGATTGGGGCCAACGTGGGGAACCTCGGGTCCCTGATGCAAGTCGGGTACAAAAGTGCTTCTGTGATTGGCCAGGCGCTGCCTGAGAAAACCTCATGGCCTCTGACGATTCCTGAGCGTTGCAGAGTGAATTCACCAACGGGCAGCCCCAGGCCCTTCACATCCAGCACAGGTCCCCGGCCAGGTGATGAAAATGTTCTCATTCACTGACATTTAAATAGTCGGGGCTCAATAAATATTTGCTGAGTCTTGTAGTTGAGTGAAAATAAGATAACATGGAGTAAGCCACCACAAAAAGAATGGATCTCAAGGCCGCCAAGCCCTGAGCTCAGCTCTTGACTTGCTCTAGACACCCCAGGGCAGATATTAGCGTCCTGACCTTGAACAGGAGGAGCCGGGGGCCCAGCAAGGTTAAGCATCTTCCTCAGGTCCCACAGGGATCCCTCACCGCCTGCACCCCGGTGCCTCCACACCAATCCCACCCCTCCCTGTCACTCGGAGGGCAGCGCCCACCGAGGCCTCCCGTGAGAGCGTGTGGGAAACCGGCTGGCAGTGCGTGGGGACACGGCACTTTTTCCTTTAGGCTCCTTATTTGCTGCTTTTTGGAGAGGGACTAAGAAGTTATAAAATATGCTTTTTATAGCTGCCTTATGAAAAGTAATTATTCATTCTCTTCTTATATGAAACAAAGACTTTGGTTTTAGAATGACTTTAATCAAAGCAAGATTTTTACCTTTGGTGTTGGCTTTTGAACAGTCCTGTAAAAATTGCATTAATCTCCCCGCCTCATGCCTTTTTAAACCAAATCAATCCATCATAGTGATGTTTTTTAAAGGTGAGTTAGCACCCTCCGCGGATTTTAGAGACCCATCTTCCTTGTTACTCGAATGGAACATAGTCAAACAATAAAGCTTTCTCTGGAGGCAAAACCAAGCTGGCCTGAACCAGCCAGCAGTGCCGAAGCACAGACAGCCATGTGGTCACCTGAGGTGCAATATAAACGGAGATGTGAGATAGAACCGGCATTCCAGGCTGGGGGCAATGAACGGGGTCAGAGGCATGTGCAAGGAAAATCTCAGGCAAGCAGTGGGGGCAACAGCAAATACAAACTGAGCAGAAAGAGAGTCAGGATGAGTCGCCCACGTCCTTTGGAGGCTGCGCTGGGAGACGTTTAGAGGCGAGAGACGTAGACAGAATGGGTGCATAGTAGGGCTGTGCCCTGATCCAGGTAGGAGGGTGGAAGCGGGTGTGGTGAAAAGGTCATGTGAACATGGCAGGGGTCACAGCACTGTTTTCATTGGGAATCACACCCAGGGGACTCTAACCCTCCACATTAACCCACAGAATTCAAGAAAAGCAAGTCCTTGGAAAACATGCCAAGATATAGCACCTCCCACCAGGCCTCCTGTGGGAACAGCCACCACGTCCCACTGCAGGAGACCCCCGGCCCTCTCACAGCTGGCGCTCTGGCCCCTCAATCTCAACTCAAATGCCACCTCCCCAGAGAGCCCTTGTGAGTACACCCCCTCCCAGGGATGCTCGCTCACCCCAGGGACCTCACGGTACCCCCCACCGACGTAATTCAAAGTAAAAACAGTGCCAACCACAGCAGGAGTCTAAGGAAGCCTAGCAGAGCGCCGCGTTTCCCACAGGGACTGCTTTCTTGTTTCTTCTGATATATCAAATACTCTATCACTGAATGTTTTGGAACGCTTACTAAATGTCCAGTCTGCCTCCTGGGTGACCAGCATAGCTCATTATTCCCTGAAACTGTCTTTTGAAGCCTTATTTCTTGACTGGCTGCTCCTGTCTCTCCCACTAGGTTCAGGCTGCAGTAGGGCGCCAGTCCGTCTGTGTCCTGAGACACAGCACCGTTCCCAGCAGAGGTGGGGCCCCATACATTTTGTTGATAAGTAGACCAAGCCCTTCTGTCCTCTTGTCCAGTGGGCTCTGGTCTTCACCCTGGAGTCAAGTGTCCTAGAGCAGAGCAGGTTAGGTGAAGGCAAGAAGAGCCCGCCTTGGCTCACGCCAGGAGAGGCTGGAGGCTGGAGGCTGGAGGGCTCTGTCTTCCACAGTGAGCTCTCCTGGCTCCGAGAGCCTCCTCTGATGAAATTCTGTGAAGGAGGGCCTCATGTCTGTCCCTAAGCTGAGCTCGAAGGAGCCTGGAGCCATAACGGGATCTGTCTCCTTAGCAAGGGCCTGACCAGACTCCCAGAGGCTGTTGGAGTCCCTGCTCTTGGTCACAAGTGACAGCACAGAGCACGACGGGCCCCCTGGGGGTTCTCCTCTCAGGGCAGGATCTCCAGAGTCCACTGGGCAGAGAAGTGAGCAAAGTGGGGGTTCTGTGTGCCTGACACTACCCTCTGGGCAGCCTGCCCCTCTGCCCTTGCACTGAGAAAGAGATGGAGGAAAAGGGAGGGGATAGAGAGGGAGGAGAGAGAGAGAGGGAAAGAGAAAGAGAGAGGGAGAGAGAGAGATGCAGGGAGAGAGATGGAGGGAGAAAGAGAGAGAGGGAGGGAGAGATGCAGGGAGAAAGAGAGAGAGAGACGGAGGGAGAAAGAGAGAGAGGGAGGGAGAGAGATGCAGGAAAAAAGAGAGAGAGATGGAGGGAGAAAGAGGGAGAGAGAGAGAAGGAAGGAGAGAGAGAGGGAAAGGAAGAAGGAAAGAGAAAAAGGGGGAGAGAGAGATGGAGGGAGACAGAGAGAGAGGGAAAGGGAAAGGGAGAGAGAGGGAAAAGGAGAGAGAGAGGAAGAGAGAAAGAGAGGGAGGCCTGGATGTGGGCTTCCTGGGAAGCTGCATCAGCCAGATGACAATCAGAATTAGCATCAGAACACCTTGATGAAAGGAAGGAAGCAAGAGTTGAATCCCTGAATGAAAAATAGATTATTCACTGTCAGGCTGAACAACGGAACAAGACATTAATAGCAGCTGTGCACAGGAGATGCCAATTTTGCTCAAATATGGTGTGCATGGTACTGCAGCAGCCCTCCAGAGAGCTCAGTGCCACAGCCAAGTTCTGCACTGAGCAGAAGAGAGTGAGTGGGTGAGAGGAGAGGGAGACAGGGAAACAGGGAGAGAGGGAAAGAGGGAGGGAGGGAGGGAGAGAGAGGAAGAGGGGTGGAGGCAGCAGAGGAGAGACAGGAGGATGAGGACGGAGAGCCAACCAGCAGCCTTGGGTAAGGGCCTCTGAGCTGTGGTTCCCACATCAAGAAGAGGAGCTCCAAGGACTTCCCTGGGAACCTTGGTGGTTGTGAAGACACAGCACGAGCGTGTTGGTAAAGCACCTGGCACAGATAATTAATTCATGAGTGGTAAGTGCTTTGACTGCCGTCAGGCAGACAGCAAGCTTCAGGGGTTCCACGTGGACTCACGCTCCCAGAGCCCAGAGGAGAGTGTGAGGATGAAGCCCAGGAAGGAGCGATGCCCAAAGACACAAATGGAGCTCGCTGGTTATGGTCAGAAAGGACCATCACGGCCTGAGGGCCATCACCTCTGTTCTCTGGGTGTTTGACAACCTCTGATGCCCGGGACAGCCGGAAACCAGGCCCCTGGCATTTCACTCGGTTCCCCTAGGACAATGCCACCGGAAAATACCATTTAGCTCATCAGCAAGCGGGTCCCTCTCGGAGAGACTGACCTGGCCTCTTCAAATGCCCTCAGCACCAGTGTCTGCCCTCTCTCTGGAGCCCCTTGTATGCTGGAGGACCAGGCTGTGACACGCTGGTTTCGGGCCCGCCTCCCTCTTCCCCACGAGCAGCTCTCCCCATGAGCCCTCTCCTAGGGCCTGGGAGTCCTGGAAAGACTCCATGCCTTCGCACCTGAGTCCCGCTTAGATGCCAGAACTGACTCAGGTCACAGAGGCTCCCGCTCTGGCACCCAGGAGCGCCCTGTCCGTTCTGGGGAGCTGGGTCAGGCTGTGTGTCGTCTCATTCCACCAGACAAGCTCAGGAGGTGGAAACAACCCCTCTCTGCACTTGGGAGGCGCAGGGAGGGCCGATGTCAGGTAGGAGGCAGGGTTTGAACCCGCAGGAAGGTGCGGGTGCGTGCTCTGCCCCAGGCTTCTGGCAGGGAACTGCATGGGAGGACGGCCCCTTACCTTGGTGAAGGTCAGACAGTCCTTGTCCTGGTCTCTGTCCTTCATCTCAAAGTCATAGAGCGCTTTGCCCTGGGGCAGGGCCTGTGGCCAGGGCCGCACGCACTGGATGTAGCTGGCGGGCAGGAAGCCGCGCGCCCCCTGCAACTCCCCGTGGTACCAGTGCTCGTCCACCCTGCGCCGCAGGAGGATGACGTCGCCCTTGTTGAACTTGAGGTCCCCAGGCTCTTTCCCCTCGTAACTGTAGAGGGCTTTGCCATAGGGGAGCTGGGAAAGAGTCTGAAAGAAAACAAAACACCAGTTACTCAGGGGGCCCTTCCCACGGCCCGGTCGGATGCGCCCAGTGGCCTGCACCAGGGCCCATGTCTGCAGGCACGTCCAGAATGCCCCAGAGTGGGAAGTATTTCACAGGAACAGGCACCTTGTCAGTGGGACATGTGAGCCCTGCCTGGACAAGAGGGTCGCCACAATGATAATTCTCTCTCAAACAGCGCAGGTGAGGGGGGCCAGGCTCTGTCCGGGGCCTTCTACAAGGTCTAACTCACTCTGCGCTGAGTAGGACTCTGAAGCAGGAGCTAAATTATCTTCACTTACAGGTGAGGAAACTAAGACACAGAGACAGAAGGTCACTGGCCCAAAGCCCCACACCTGTAAAGGTAGGGCAGAATGCCCACCCAGGTGGTCTGGCTCTGGAATGTTCTCACCCGCTACTCAGTGCTGAATTGTCCTCCGTTGGGTGATATTTCCGGCTTCCAGATTTCCAGCAATTATTATCCAACAAAAATTGCCCTTACTTTGTCTCTGAACCTTCACAGCAACTCAGAACACGCGTCATGGCTGAGGAGACAGACCCGCACCGACCTTGCTGTGCCCTTCCCACTCAGTGAGCTCACGACCTGTGGAATATGCCTACAATGTCCACCCAGACGGACAGCCTTGCTGTGGAAGCTGGAGGCCACCCCCAGGACTTTGGTCCCCAGTGCAATAGAGGTTGTAACAAGTGGTTCCCAGCTGTCAATGACCCCCCAACCATGACACATAGCTTTTGATGCATACGGCAGTCTGGTCCAGAAGTACAATTTCAAGAGCATAAAACAGTATCCTCTTAACATCATGGGATATTCCTGTCATCCTGTCAAAGATTAGCCAACCCATCCAAAAGCAATCGGCTGTCTCTGGCCTCCACTAGAGACCAGCTCTGAAACCCAAGCAGAATTCTTGGTGATCTTCTGCTCTTCAGCAATAAGGAGTCTGTTGAACCACAATGAAACTTGACCTAACACCATCGTCCACTTCCTGGGGTCCTCTAACTTAACTGGGCCTGTTTCATAAAGACCAGGGGCCGCCTGGGTTTCTCTTCCTCTTCTTACCAGTGGCCAAGACCAGCTCAACTGAGTAAGCTTTGTCAAAGGCCAAGTCTATGCCAGAGGAAAACCAAACAAACAGCAACCACTGTCCCTGTGTCAACACCCAACAATTTCCCTAACAAAAGCCTCATTTTCTCACCAGGGCTGCCTATGCCAAGGATTTCTTTAGTATTTGAATCAATCAATAGAGGCACAAAAGCCTGAAGCGGTAGTGCACCAAAAAACTCTTTGTAGAGGACTTAACAGCATGTTGGCAACTCAATCACTCTGCATTTATGTTTCAGCAACGTCACATGACAGCAGTTAAGAGGGAACCTGCTGGCCAACTGACAAACAGCCACCACCAACCAATTAAATAGTAACACCAGAGGATTTGCCTTACAAAACTCGATGAGGAAAAAAATCAGTTTGCTTCCAATAATGTTCACCCTGGCTAGCTTTGTACTGCAAGCACAATAGACTGTCACGGGCCGGATTTTAGGGAGCTGAGGTGGAGGGGTAATTTGCAATACAAGGACTGCGATCAGAAAAGAATGGAAGAGGCTGCTGGCTGTGGGCCACGAGAAGAATTCCACTGCCACACAAGGGCTGGTCAGCCGCTGGCCCAGGGTTCTCAATCAGGGACAATTTTGTCCCCAAGGGCACATCTGGCAATGTCTGAAGACATTTTTCATTGTCACAACTGGGAGGTGGGAAGCTATTAGAATTTAATGAGTAGAAACCAGGGATCCTACGATGCCCAGGACGGCACCAATACCAAGGATGACCCCGCTTGGAATGTCCACAGTGCCAGGGGTCAGAAACCTGTCCAGCCAGTTAGGTTAAATTTACAAAAAGACAGAACAGCTTCCTTGTTCTCTTTGAACTTAGTCTATCACAACTTCCTAAGTGAAATACAACATTTATTTTTGTGGAGGGAGAATTTTCACTGTTGGCCACATGGGGAAGCTGAAACATGTGTGGAGGTAACAGGTGTTACAGGGCCAGTGAAAAAAGAACTTACTGTTTAATAAATGACAAGCAATAGGATATATTGGAGCACATGAGGAAGCCATCTGGTGTAAAACTAATTCGGCCTGACCTTATTTTCCCAAAAGGGCCTGTGGCCTTTGAACATGCATTGTGTATCTGCTTTACTATGTCCCAAAAAGAAGAGTAAATGCCTTTAAGATAAGAATGCAACTTCCTCCACATTGGAATTTCATTAAGGATAAGCATTTCTCCCTAGGCTAGGATTTGATTGCTGCGCTCATCCTGTGACCACCCAGCTGGAGACAACAGATCTGACACCAGCCATGCCCATCGAGACAGCAGACCCGCTCCCCACTGTGTCCATCAATAGCTATTCTGGCAGGGCAATCTGGCAGGGCGATCTTGTGGCTATTATAAAAGGGACATTGCAATCACATGTGATACATGCTCTTTGACGGTATATAACCACTCTGTACAGCCCACTTCTTTGGTGCCCTTCCTTCCTTAGGGAAGAAAGGCCCCAGGCTATGGTCCTCAAAAGTTGGCTCATAATAAACTTACCCCAGTTTTGATTTATAGATTGATTATGGATTCTTTACGTCAACACTGTTACACTTGAAAAGTGGCCTCAACTCAGTGACCAAAGGAAACATCACCCGTCAAACAGGCTCGTTTCCTTCCATCCCACACTAAGGGGCAGCGCTCACAGACTCTGAGGCTGTGTGGTAACTTTTGCTACTACCGATGACAATGGAGAGCAAGACTCGATAGATCTGCACTTTTGTTTTGATAAATAAATAAAAAGTGATAGGACATACTGGAGTATATGAGGAAGCCATTTGGTTTAAAACTAATTCAGCCTGACCTTGTCTTTCCAAAAGGGCATGATGTGGCCTGTTGAGCACACCTTGTACGTCTGCTTTAAATATTTACTATGTCCCAAAGACAAGAATGATGCCCTTAAAGATAGGGATATAATTTTCCCCATATTGGCAATTCCTTAAGGATAAGCATTGATACCGGCTCAAGACAAGGTTGACATAAGGGAAGCCATAATGTAGAAAAGAAAAACTCTATTGTAACTTTGAATGACCTCTGACAGACTAACCCAGCTAGATATGCACCCTCCAGGAGATCCAACTGCTCTGTAGATTTTATGAACCCTGCTTGTGCACGTACCTCCCAGCTGCGATAAGATGATAACTTTGTTCTTTTGAGTTCCTTAGGAATGTGATGACCCCTGAGCTGAGTCTATGCTGATAGCCATCATCAGTGAAAACTGAAAGATCTGGTGTGACACTCCCAGTCTGTAACAGCAGAGGGTCAACATTCCTAACCCCCTTCCCTATAACCCAATGGCCTATATATAACTGCTGTAAGATTTTGTGCCCCATTAAGGTGGATCTGTCAGACATTAGTTGGCCATCTTCCCCCTTGCTAGCAAATAAATAAAATTAGAAATGAAAGAGGAGAAATCACAACGGATACCACAGAAATACAAAGGATTATAAGAGAATACTATGAAAAACTATATGCCAACAAATTGGACAATCTAGAAGAAATAGATAAATTCTTAGACTCATACAACCTCCCAAAACTGAATCAAGAAGAAATAGAGAACCTGAATAGACCAATCACAAGTAAAGAGATTGAAACAATAATCAAAAACATCCCAAAAAATAAAAGTCCAGGAGCAGATGGATTCTCCGGAGAATTTTACCAAACATTCAAAGAAGATTTAATACCTATCCTTCTCAAACTATTCCAAAAAATACAGGAAGATGGAACACTTCCTAACACACTCTATGAGGCCAACATCACCAAAGCCAGACAAGGACAATACAAAGAAGGAAAATTACAGGCCAATATCCCTGATGAACGTAAATGCAAAAATCCTCAACAAAATATTGGCAAACCAAATACAGCAATACATTAGAAAGATCATCAAGTAGGATTTATACCAGGGACACAGGGAAGGTTTAACATCCGCAAATCAATCAATGTGATAGACTACATTAACAAAATGAGGAATAAAAACCACATGATCATCTCAATAGGTGCAGAGAAAGCATTTGACAAGATCCAACATCCATTTACGATAAAAACTCTCAACAAAATGGATATAGAAGGAAAGTACCTCAACATGATAAAGGCCATATATGACAAACCCACAGCCAACATCACACTCAATCGGAAAAACTGAAAGCCATCCCTCTGAAAACAGGAACAAGACAAGGGTCCCCACTTTTGCCACTATTATTCAACATAGTGCTGGAAGTTCTGGCCAGAGCAATTAGGCAAGAAAAAGGAATAAAAGGAATGCAAATAGGCAATGAAGAAGTGAAACTCTCGCTGTTTGCAGATGACATGATTTTATATATAGAAAACCCTAAAGAATCCATCTGAAAACTATTAGAAATAATCAACAACTACAGCAAAGTTTCAGGGTACAAAACCAACTTACAAAAATCAGTTGCATTTCTATATTCACGACGAACTAACAGAAAGAGAACTCAAGAATACAATCCCATTTACAATCACAACAAAAAGAATAAAATATCTAGGAATAAATTTAACCAAGGAGGTGAAAGACCTACACAATGAAAACTATAAGACATTATTGAAAGAAATTGGTGATGACATACAGAAATGGAAAGATATCCCATGCACATGGATTGGAAGAATAAACATAGTTAAAATGTTCATACTACCTAAAGAAATCTACAGATTCAATGCAATCCCAATCAGAATCCCAAGGACATTCTTCATGGAAATAGAACAAAGAATCCTAAAATTCATTTGGGGCAACAAAAGACCCCGAATAGCTAAAGCAATCCTGAAAAAAGAACAAGGCTGGAGGCATCACAATCCCTGACTTCAAAACATACTACAAAGCGATTGTAATCAAAACAGCATGGTACTGAAACAAAACCAGACACA